CCCCGTGGAGTGTCCTCTTTTTGGACACTCCAAATATGGTAACCCTAAATTTTTGGTATGTAATATGGCACAAATCAAGCACATTGCAAAATTGATAATATTAGCCAATAATTTTTTTAAAAAGAAATCTGTAATTTTTGGGACAACTGCAGCTGCGTGACTCTTAATATGACAAATACAGACAATTTAGTGCATTTATAAACTCCTTAAAGTTTGGAAATAGTGTATTGGCTGAAATACAGTTGAGCAATGGAAGCTCTCAGCTCTCCTATAGTTCAACTTTGCAAAGATTAGCAAACAGTTTGGCCCCATATTAGTGCTGTGTTTTTCAGCAAGGATGAGGGAACACACATTCAAAAGTGAGAAAACAGTGGGGTCCAGTTTTCCATGATTTAGTTCCTGTTTTTGTGTAGGGCTCAACAGACCCCTAAAGCTGCCCATCAACCAAGTATAGCCAAAGCACAGTCCACTCTGGGCATGCCTCTTCTTGTCCTTAGCATGCTCCCTCTGCTGGTAGCTGAGAGAACAGAGGTATAATTGATTTTTCAGTCTGGTGGCAGTTTTGAAAAAAAAAAAATTGGTTCAGTTCAAACCAAATGTGAAATGTTTTGGAATTTTTGGTGAACCGAAAAAGTCAGTTGTGGGTCTGTTTCAGAGCGGGGATTCTAATCTGGGTCTCCCACATCCCAGCTCAGTGTCCTAACAACCTGGGTCAAGGTTATAGGGGGAGTGGGGCGCAGCAGCAGCACTAACAGCCCCTTCTTCTCTTCACCAGCTACAGTGCTATTTACACTTGGTAGAGGGCTATGTGGGAATGTACCAGGGCTGCCCAGAGGGGGGGGGCAAGTGGGGCAGTTTGCCCCAGGCCCCAGGCCCTGCAGGGGCCCCCACAAGAATATAGTATTCTATAGTATTGCAACTTTTTTTATGGAAGGGGCCCCCGAAATTGCTTTGCCCCAGGCCCCCTGAATCCTCTGGGCGGCCCTGGAATGTACACTACATGCCACTAAAAGAAGCATGCAATGTAGACATACCTTAAAGGAGCCAGTGAGGCACAGCTTAGGTGAGTAGAGCACATGCTTGAAAGGTGTGATTATATATGTGAGTACATACCCTACACACTCTCTACTTCTCCAAGCCATGCCTCGTTGTCTACACTGCTATTTTAGCTATGTAGTATCCTGCTGCTGGGGCCTTTCCCCTCTGCAGGGAAAGACACCTCCTCTCCCCCCCCACCCCCAGCAGGAAAGGCTCTGGAAGGGAGGAGGCAGTGGGGAAAGGCTCTGCCAGCCCCCTGCTGCTGAATCCCTTCCCCACCACAAGGAAAGACTCAGGCAGTGGAGAAAGGCAAGGGGGAGGCTCAGCCTTTCCTCGCTGTCTTTCCCTACCAAAGCCTTTCCTTGCTACAGTGAAAGGCTCCAGCAGTGGGCAGTTGCCGAAGCTCTTCTCCACTGTCTCCTCTCTGCCAGAGCCTTTCTTTAACACACATAGCTACACACTGCAGTGTGGACGCCGCAGGCTTTTCACTGCGCTATGTACCTTCACATTATGCTGCTGCCAATAGTGTCTAGTGTAGAAGTAGCCTAAAAATTAATGTAAGTTTTGTGACTAAATCTGCCATGCAATGAGAAAAAAATAGAGTCCAATATGTTGAACATGTTGTATACGCTGATTTTTTAATACTTTTATGTGAACTATGGGAAGTTCACAGTGTTGTTTTCTAATTTTACTTACTAACTTCCAGTAGAACCTCAGAGTTATGAACATCTTGGGAATGGAGGTTGTGCTTTACTCTGAAATATTCGTACCTGAACAAAATGTTATGGTTGTTCTTTCAAAAGTTTACAACTGAACATTGACATAATACAGCTTTGAAATTTTACTATGCAGAAGAAAGATGCTGTTTTCCCTTTTTTTAGTAGTTTACATTCAACACAGTATTGTACTGTGTGTGCCTTTTTTTTTTTTTTTTTTTTTTGGTCTCTGTTGCTGCCTATGTACTTCTGGCTCCAAATGAGGAATGTGGTTGACTGGTCAGTTCAGAACTCTGGTGTTCGTAACTCTGAGATTCTACTGTAGTTGGTTTTTTGTACTATAACATGGATTATTCAAATACATTGGTAATAATTCACTTCCTGAGAAGCAACATGATAGGAATTAAGTTTAAAAATATTGTCTTCATTAGCTAGGACAAATACCAGACTAACTTAATAGCAACTGGTAATAGCTTGTCCAATTCCCATCACCAATGAACAGTACAAGAAAGAAGTTTATAACATTTAAGATTACTTTCTTTTCCAAGGTGTTACATAATGTAACAAATATATGTTGCTTGATATTAATCCATAGCTGAAAGCATAAAGTAAAACACAGAATATAATGGCTAATGTCAGTATGTCTCCTTTCTCCAAAATACAGCAACTTCACATAACAAATTAGGGCCAAATTTTGCACTGGTTTATCTCCCCACTCCACCGCTTTCTTTTTATCCTTACTTTCAGCCTATCCTTTGTCTTCTCCATCAAATGGTGGCCACAAGAAAGATATCATTATTTGCGAAGGTTTCAGCAGAAAGGTAGCCCCTGCATTTTGATCTAAATACTATCAGCTTGTGTTCAGTCTGCTCTCCTCTGGAACAGTGTTTTACAGCTGGGCTCTGACCAATGAGCATGCTCTGTTGTTGGCACCTGGAAGTCTTATTCTGTACTTCTCCAGCTGCATTTTAACTGCTGAGCACAGCTATTTTGGTAGGTTGTGGAAGAACAAGTGGTCTTTGAAAAAAAAACAAACAGCACTTGATCCATTAAGTGCTCTCTAGATTAGTATCAGGATTTTAATTCAGTCCACTAGCATAAAAGGAACAGCAGAAAACATTAATATCTTTATCTTTTTTTTATTAATACCTGTATATTTTTTTTAAGTGGGTTGCCTGTATGTTGCATGAGTTATAGCTCCTATAAGGAATTGACCCTTGACTCCATGTAAAATTAATTCCATAGTCTAACCTGGGGGTGATGAAACTATCTACGTAGCCAAAACTCCAGTGGCTGCTTCCACTCCACCTTCCCTGTTGTAAGGTATAAGGAGACCCTGCACAGCCAGACTCCATGTCACATGGAGGATATGTGCCCCTGTGCAGATTCCCAGCTTCCTATTCTTCCCTGAACCCCCAATGCAGCAGAACCCCAACTAGGCTTGGGGAGGGGTGGGGACAAGATTCACCCCAAGGGGAGAATTCATATTTTAAATTTAAAAAAATCTAACTTTAATATCTGATCAAAGAGTCTGATCAAAGTTATCAAGAAAAAGCTGGCATACTGACGTTATTATTAACCTACAAAATAGAGACCTCTGAAGTAGCCCAAAACACTGCAGACTGCAAAGCCTAATTGTGATGCCTCTTATAATTATTCTTCCCTTTTGTGCCAGTGAATTTCATTTATTGCCACTAAAATTGATATCCTATCTGATCAATACAATACCTTTGTGATTAGCCACATGTTAGCCAGAGGCCACAGTGTTGATGGGACTTTTAGATCCCGATAGTCCATTCTTCTGGGAAGTGCCTTCCTCATTTTATCCATGGCAACAGAGACATGAAAAACTATCTGTGGATCGGCCTAAACATATTAAAAAAACAAGAGCATTACTGTAATTGGTATTTTAAATTAATACCACTAGCAAAGTTCAGCAAATACTACAAAGTGCCTGCTAATGTACTATACAACCTTAGTATTCTACTGTAGACATGGTATTTTGTACTTTACAGGTTCCGAGTAAGATGATTTGGCCAACAGATGTATGTATACATGAAGAAATATTTGTGAATTATGTTAATTCCAATAAATACATTGGATTACAACATATTATGGTTTCATCATTTTAAGGGCTGAGTGCGTCTTGGCCTTGAGTCCCAAATAAGACACCAGGCATTGTTGCATTTCCCTAAGTGCAGACCTTCAGCCTAGTCTCCCCCTTGCTCTGAGAGGGAACTAACCTGCACTGGGTCTAAATGCAGTGCAACATACTTCTTCCAGCACAGCTACAGTGACAGACAGAAAAAGGTCCTACAGTATTGATTATGTGACCTGTGTGTTAAAACCTCACATTAGAAGGAGAACAGTTACAGTGAAACAGATACATTATTTTAGCTATGCTATAGATTGAATCAAGTAATGTACTTAATATTGTACTAACCAATTACAACTAATTTTAATGTAATTAAAATAAAAACTATAAGATTACTTAAAAATCTTGTATATAGAAAGTTAATCATTATAACTTTGAAGTTACATGTTCCTACTCTAGTAGTGAGAATTGCCCCTGCCAATCAGCTAATAATTTGCTAAGTACTTGAATATGGAGATAATAATCTGAAAGAGGTTCTCACTTTATTAATAGAGTTTTATCCCATCAAGGCACAAAGACTTACACACACAAGTCCCATTAGTTACAGATATAAGACCATTCTGCAACAAAATTTGAATGTCCTATGACTTCTCTTCAATAGGCTTGGGATATACTAGCTAACACAAACACTACTTGATGTTTTCACTAGAAATTATCAGTGAATGATCGAGGTATAAATCTGTATATGAGAAAAACAAGGGCCAGATCCTTGGCCCCATTAAGTCTTTTCTCACCATCCTGAAGAGACGTGTATCATACAGGTCATAATATATTCAATTCCCCAGCACCTTCAGAACCTAAGTGAGTATGACCAGCTGCAAATGAGGCAGAGAAAACTGTATTGCTCCTCCTGAAAATTGACTCTATTACCACACAGACAGACAGTTCAGTCCAGATCTCCACAATCTTATCTGCAAAATAATTTGAAAAAGCTTCACAGTGTTAGACTCTACCATGAAAGGCAAATAGTCTCAGTCTAGTAGACTGTTTCCAACTCAAAACAGTTCTGTTGCTCAGAATTTTGAGGATTCTATGGAAACATAGAAACCCTCTGGACATATTATATGCATTATAAATATTCAATAATAACTAATAATACAGTAGGACCCTGAAACCTCAGTTTGGATCAGAGGCCTATTGTGCTGTACAAACACAAGGTCCTCACTCTGAATTCCTCCCACTTTAGCAGTTGTAGGTCACTTAGTGATTTCCAAGGATGAATGCAAGGAAGCAGGTGTTTAGGAGTCACTGTATAAATAGTTAAGGATAACAGATCGTTATAATGTCTCCCATAGATCAGCAGAGCAGTCTGTCACAAGAGAGTATTCTTTCTCAGAGCCTTTGATTCCTTACAGGTTCCATTAGTCTTTGATGAAAGAAAACAGGCCCTTCACCCTGACAGGAAAGGAGCATGATAGCATTAAAATAGGTTTTCATTCTGATTAACAACTGAGGACCAGATCCTCAGATGGTGTAAATCTGTATAACTCCCCTGAAGCTAATGCAGCTGGAGATTTGGCCCTGAATATTTATAAGAACTGAAGATGGTGATAAGAAAAGGTGACAAGATCTTCTGTTATTTTTGGCTATATAGTGACAATATTAAAAAAAAATCCCATAAATTATGCTTAGTATACTTTTAGGAGACCAAAAATGTATATCTTAGCCAGAATAAATTGTAAACTGCACTTTAAGTGAATACAATTGGGCACAATCTATTACTTGAAGTGAAATCTTAAAAGTCTCTATACCCAGTGACTGACAAGATCCTTTTGTCCTCAAAGAATGCTCTCTGCAGAGGCACATCATGCTTCCAATAAACACTGGAGGTCCATCATGTCTTAACACTTGCAATCATGTCTTAACACTTGCAATATGACCCTTGTTAATATGTTTGAGGAAAGAAAAGCTTTTGAATGAACCACATTATTTAACATCTTTATAAGCTTCTAAGACAAGGCTGTAGTAACAAAAAACAATGTTCTGCTTCCTATTGTTAAGAGGAAGTGAAAGGAAATGAATAGATTCATTGTTCACCCTCAGAATCCCACCTGGATGGAATAATACTTATTTTAAATGAGACTGTGTCTAAATTAGCAGTGCTTCATCTGTAATATAAGGACTACTGATGTATAAGTCAAAACACTCACTTTTCAATGACTGCTTCCATGAAATTTATGACCCAAATATTTTGTATAACCACAACAAGACAGCATTAATGAAGAAATACAGATTAATGGAGATTTAACCTAGGATTTCTGTATTGGAAGTGCTATGCACTTCTAACAAGTCTGAAATACAATGATCAGTATCTCTTGTGATTCAATGGGCCAACAGTAATTCCAATAAGGACAATGTAGTTATTGCAGATGATATTGGCCCTAGGTACTTGGCGAGGTGATTAAAGTTTCACTGGAAATAAATTACTTCTTTGATTTCAAGTACAGAGTCTCCAACAGAACCATTTTTAAACCATAGAGACGTAGGAATGAAACTATCTGCCACGAGCTTGTGCCCACATGCATCAGCTACTGTTGGTGGGGCTTTTGAATTGCAAATGAACAGAAAAACCTAATTAGAAAGGATGTTCAGAACCCAAACTAAGCACCCAAAAAGATGGGGGGAAAACAAAAATCCCAGCCTGAAATGAGATATTAGCTAAGAATAGTGATGTGGGAAAAATGTGTTGTTGACTTACTTCTAATCCACTCCCTTCTGAAAGCAAATGGAGTGGAGCATATATTGAGGCTGGCAAAACAGCAGAAGCAGAACATTTGGTACAGAGATAGCACATTTGATTTCATATTACCCGTTAGGCAGCAGCAGGCTGATCTTACAAGGGAATCCCCACAGTTATTGTACAATGACAACGAATATTCTACTAATCCTCCTCCAAAGGCTCCAGGCTTAAGACAGCACTCTTACTCAACCTCACTATTATAAATTGCTACCAGATATCAGAGGTTTCACTACAACTGGGTAGAAGATTGTTTGGGTTGGAATTAGACACAAGTATCATTATGCTGTATGCCTCTTTGTATAACACCTGCTGCAAGTCCCTATATTCTTGTTATCACTACCACAGGTTTTAATCTTTTAACATTTGGTTTAGTGGTGCAGCAGTGAGGAAGCAATGGCCCTTTGTATTCATCACAGGCTGGCACCCAGGACTAACACCATGCTGTGCATCAGGAGATAATTAAGCTGGACAGTACCCAAGTGACACTAGATAAAGAAGCAACAGCATGTTCCTCTCACCAGCTTCAGATGATGTTAAAAACCTGCAGAGCTTGGGGCAATGGCACCCCATAGAAGCAACAATGGCCATTAACTTTCTTATTTGAGATTTCACCTTCTTTATTATATTTGATAGTTTTGCTCCAAACTGGCAGCCCATGACAGTGAACTGGAGAGATGCAACTTGAGTGAGCTAGAGTGCTCAAAAAAGCATTAGAAATTGCATTGAAAAATTATATTCATAGCATGTGCTGTGATATGCTAAGCTATACCATCACATACCACAGAGAACCTCGTTTCTATGATACATGCTATTAAACATAAGCCCACAGATAGAAGCAAGCAAAACATCCATTCCACCCTCTAATAAAATTACTTTAAAATTCTTCCTTTCAGAAAAAAGGCAAAGGGATAAAGCATATGGTGTAGCCATAAACAATAATATTGGAAATTGTATGAGCAAAGCCAAGTTATCATAGAGAACAACATCTGAAAAAATTCATTCACTAACATTAGCTGAGACTTGGTCTGTAAAAAGGGACTTGTTACTTTACTGTTATTATTTACAGCTAGTGGTTCTCAACCAGGGGTATATATACCCTGGGGGTATATAGAGGTCTTTCAGGGGTTACATCAACTCATCTAGTTATTTGCCTAGTTTTACAACAGGCTACATAAAAGCTATTAGTGAAGTCAGTAAACACTAAAATTTCAGGCAGACAATGGTTTGTTTATACTGCTCTATATTCTATACATTGAAATGTAAGTACAATATTTATATTTCAATTGATTTATTTTATAATTATATGGTAAAATGTGAAAGTAAGCAATTTTTCAGTAATAGGTTGCTGTGACACTTGTATTTTTAGGTCTGTTTTGTAAGCAAGTAGTTTTTAAGTGAGGTGAAACTTGGGGTATACCAGACAAATCAGATTCCTGAAAGGGGCACAGTAGTCTGGAAAGGTTGAAAGCCACTGATTTACACAGCACTATAAATATGCATTTAAGTGAGCTGACTGTAGGTATTACTGCACATTGTGAATGATGCATTTTTATATTGAGGAGGAATTCTCTAAGGGAGTGATAGCACTGAAGTTACAAGGTCAGATTAATTGACTGAAAGCAATGTAGGGAGGTGCAAATTATACATCTCTTTGAGAGCTTGGGCCTTGTGGAGGAGTCACCCTGAGAAGGACAGGTGAGAATATTAGCTATCCTCAATCCTGTTTCCTGCCAGCAGTAATGGTAACAGATTTAACTATGGACAGGACAATATAGGAGCCTTACTGGTAGAGGCTGCTCAGAGGATGTGCTGAATCCGTGCATTGTTTAACCATTCTGGCCGCATCGTATCTCCAGCAATCACCATCCCTTTTTGGCTTTCTGGAGAGGGCTGGCCCTCTAGAGGTCTTTTGGTAGAGGGAACGTTGTTGCTATTTCTCAGTGCTGTAGTCTTGCCTCTCCTCTAGCTACACTCTTAATGACAACAGCAGGGAAGTTATATGCCACTGAAGGTTATTCCCTGCTAGTAGGGTGATTCTCCTCTGCCCAGTTACATCAGCTTTCTAACCAGAGTCCAAGCTGACTGTGTTAAACTTAAATTAAATATTACTTTATTACTTTCTTTCCTTTTGTTAAATTGTCTTTCAAGAGATGACCAATGACCAACTAAGAGAAAGAGATTGATAAATATGCGGTTCTCCTCTCACTTATATCAGTGAAATTCAAGAGTAATGAAATCAGTAGAATTACACTAGTACAGGGGTCAGCAACCTTTCAGAAGTGGTGTGCCGAGTCTTCATTTATTCACTCTAATTTAAGGTTTCGCGTGCCAGTAATACATTTTAACGTTTTTAGAAGGTCTCTTTCTATAAGTCTATAATATATAACTAAACTATTGTTGTATGTAAAGTAAATAAGGTTTTTAAAATGTTTAAGAAGCTTCATTTAAAATTAAATTAAAATGCAGAGCCCCCCAGACTGATGGCCAGGACCCGGGCAGTGTGAGTGCCACTGAAAATCAGCTTGCGTGCCGCTTTTGGCACACGTGCCATAGGTTGCCTACCCCTGCACTAGTATATAGCTGGTGCAAATGAGAGGAGAAACAGGCCAGTGGCAACAGTGCTTTCTGCAACTACTATAGGGAAAAGTGGCAAGAGAAAAAGTTTTCTTATTTTATCTTCCTCTTCATGTCAATTTTTTCCCCCAGGCATTGCAATAGAGAATGTCCAAAAAGATGATTGGTCAGCATCAATTTTTTAAAAAACATTATCTAAAGTCACATTGCTGCTGTCTTTAATGGGCTATAAGACTGATTCTTTTAATTCGAAATTACTTGACTTTGATAAAAGTAGTATCTCTTGGTACATGTACAAATGCATTGGAATTTAATATTGTAGAGCTTCAAAGAATGATAGTTTAAAGATTAATTGGAGTTATTAATATAGTGCTACTTCATATCACAGAATAAAGAAAATAACCTCAAGACAGCTAATTTGTAATATTTGTGAGTTACCAATATCTGAAGATTTTTAGAATTTATATTAGATGCTGAATTCAAGGTGAGACTTTTAAAAGCACCTGAAGTGAGTTGTGAGCACAAACTGACATCCACTCAGGTGCTTCTGAAAATCCTTCCTCTTCACCACACTCTTAAATATTTTAGAATCCCATTAAAGAATAGGTCATCTACCATGCTCATCCATCTTCTTTTTAAGTTGAAATTTAATTTGTGACCCTCATTTCTATTACTGACAGAGAGACAGTTATACAAGTAGTGTGGAAGTGCAAAGGTTTTCTAAAATATAAGGGATAGTGAGGGTTCATATCTTTTTGTACTTGGCCAGGATTACTACATCATGCCGGAGAAGATTTCTGAATCATTGATCAGAGTTTCTATCAGAAGGCATTTAGGCTTCAGTATTTCTTTTCTGGCTAAATTATGTTATTGTTGAAGACTATATTATATAACAATACTATAATAAGATTAATAATCTTCAACAAATACATATAGCTTCATATTTGGAATATATATACATATTCTGAATATGAAACTGCTGTAACTTTTTCTGAATGAGCATCAAAATAAAAGTAGTGATGACAGATTTGGAAGATGATGTATTATAGCTGATTTCATATTTCCTGAATATGAATGGTTTAGTTCCTGGAAGGAGAGTTGCTTGGATAGCTATGCTTGGATTCCATATCTTCTTTAAAACAATATACAGAAACTTCAAGTGGGAATATTGTCAAATGGTGGTAGCAATGTCTTACTTGCCAGTGAAACAACATGTACCAGTGCAGTGTGATTTTTTTCTTAGTACTCTTTTTTAATATTGACAGCCTTTGTGTGACATGTTTAGAGGACTTGAATTTGACAAAATAATTGTATTAAAATATTAAACAGTTAAAGCAGGACTCAAGTAGTACTTAGGCCATGAGCTGGATCTCTGCATAGGGTGAATTTTATCCAACGTTGATTGACTGAGTAGAATATACAACTTCCTTTAACATTAGTGGGAACTGAGGACTTAAAGCCCTATACAGCACCTTGAAAATTTTACCATTACAGTATGTCACAAATATGAGTGAAACAATTCAGGAACTTGTCCACTAAAGTTTAAATTGCTCTTCATGTTCAGTAAAAGGTCAAGCATATAGAAGTGTGTGTAAGGTCCAAAATTATAGTTTCTCCAAGGCTTCCTTTGTTAAAAGTACAATATGATGAATTCCACAAAAGCAGTATGAATGGACAAATAACCTGACCTGAGAAAGTGCCCAAGGATGACATCTACTGATGGTCATCTATCCCACCTTGCTGATATATAGGCCAATCTTCCTCACCAGTGACAAAAGAGCAACAGGTTGTAATTGTCAGGGTTATCTGTAGCCCCAGATGTACGCATTGGGATTGTATGTTATAAATTCTACTCAGCGGGAAATGTTTTATTTTTAATCTTCTATTGACAAGTAACAGCTAGAGGTTGAGCAATAATATCTATACCTGAAGTCAATTTAAAAATGTATGTATCCAGAACATCTGAGCCTTTTGCCTTTTTAGTGTGTAATCTTCTTAGTGTCTTCTGCACCTCATTGAGCTCCAAGGTTCGCAAATACAAAATACTGTAGGTATCCAGCACCTCTGCCCTGAATTTAGCTTTAAAGGAGTCTCTCTTGAGGATATCAAATTATCATTCACAATACACTGTTCACCCCCAGATGTGTAATTGTTGGATGCTCTCCCCGTTTCCAAATGTATAAGCCTCAATAGGTTAGTACAGTTGTAGTTTTTAAGCTTATATTAACTATCCCATTCTTTATCTCCTAAGGTTTGTTTCTCATATTTTATTGTAGGTCGGCATTAGTAGTATTCAGATGTTTTATCTCTTCCCTATTGCTGATCTATAGGTTTATGCATCTCAAGGTCACTTTGGAACATGTTTATACCAGACACCAGAAGCATAATCAATACAACATGCGAATATATAAACAATATCAGGTAACATAAAAATGGTGCTTTAGATAACCATAACTTAAACACAGTAAACTATGCTGTTGCCCCACTACACAGAAAACAACCCTTTGCATTGTCACAGAAGAAGCCCTGCAGAATGCAGATCGGTGCAGATTGCTCCCCTAAATGCTGTCTACTGAACTTTATTTGCCACTGGGGGTCAGGAACAAGGTTCGTCTCAGTATTATTATTTGTATCACAGTGCTGTGCTAGGCACTGTCTAAAGTGAGAGACAATCCCTGCTCTAAGGAGTTTACATTTTAAATAGACAAGAAAGACAACATGTGGAAGAGGAAACAGGCTCAGGGAAGTAAACTGATTTTCCCATGATCACATAGCTAGTCAGTGGTTCAGGAAAGAATAGAATGCATGTCTTCTAAGTCTCAGGCCACTTCCTTCCCCGCTGGACTAAGCTGCCTCTTCCTTTGTGAAGAATCTTTAATTGACTCAATCTAAAAAGGTGCATGACCGCTTTAAAGTTGTACTCTATTCACTTTTCTAAGTAAACTTAAAGTAGTCACAGTAACTGGCTTAATTTAAATGATCTGAACAATCAAGATGACTTTACTCAGAGGTTTCATATGAATATATTAGATTAGGACCTGGGTCTACTTTTTCAGTTACCAAATACACTTGATTTGATAAGTGAGGCTTATATGCTTATTCCTTCTGTATCACAGTATTTTAAATGCAAACAAAAATTACAGTATCAAAATAAAATTCTGAACTCAAAATTTATACAAACACCACCAAAATATAAGCACCAAATAATAGTTACTGTATTAGACTAATAATTTTGAAATCTATTGTAAAAAGCAAGGATGTTAACCTTTGGAGTGTTTGCATTTATGAGACACTTGTTACATCAATGGAATTAGAACATTCAAAATGTTAACTTGCACAAAATAGGAAGTGAAAGTCGGGTATATAAAAAGTCATACTTAATCTATGTAACAGTTTTGTGCTAACAAAAAAGAATAAACTTACCTTGTACTGTATAAAATGGCTATCCATGTCCACCTTTTCCAAGTTTTGAAGTGTCTGGTGGTTTGTGCACTGGAAGTTGTCTGGAAATTCTGTACAAGCTTCCCAACTGAGAATAAACAAAGTCATTACAAGATTCTTTATTGGGACTTTTTATTTAAAGTTTACATATTTTCAGATATGTTAAATGTGGGTTAGCATATAATTAATACTTACAAACAGGAAAGAAGTACAAGCAATGCTTAGTATAAGGTGTGCTAATTTATTATAAATTATACACAGGCTTAAATCAAAGTTAAACCTAAAATCCAATGGACAACATTTTGACACTTTGGTCCCAGTTGTTTGGTCCAACCAAATTGTACTTGGTGCAAGGAACCCAAAGGAGTAGAGAAAAGATGGTTTTATACTACTTTTGCTCTCTCCAGATCAGAGACCATTCATGGACTAATTTGACCCCTCGTGCAACTTAAAGCAGTTCCAAGACTGCTCTTAATGATGGCAGGAGTAATGGTCATTTCAACATCCGGGAATCACTGGAGTACAGCAACACTCCAACCACATTCTATCTCCTAGTCACATTTCTAACACACCACCTACACTGTGAGCTGTACCGTGGGGGCAGTGAGGGTGATACTGACCCAACTTTGCTGGCTCGTTGCCTGAAGGGGAATCCTTGGTTGCCCTGATTGTTGGGAGTTTTGCCATTGACTTCAACAAGACCAGGATTTCACCCAATATTTGTAAAAAACACATTTTTTGTGTAATGGGGAGTAGATTAAAAGGACAACAAAACTGTGCGCATTTTCCTTTTTAGGTCTTCCCTTTGTTATATGAAAAGGAGATGTTACCCCGTACTGATATAAAATCAGAAATAAAATCTGCCCCGATCTACACATTTTTTAAGTTTACATGATTATATAAATGTTTAAGCCTATGTATTCATACACTTTAGACATCCCACACATAAAAGTTGCTCATATGCTGCAAGACTCCCTATTTCCCTGTCCCTCCTATCTCATCCAAGCAACAGTGGTTATATAAAGGACAGCAGGATCTGGAGGCTACAGTGAAATGGAAGCTGTAGCTAGGGCCTCTCAGAGAGAGGCACCAGTACTTACTCTGGTGAATCTTAACAGTTCTGCAGTAGGCAGAAAGGTGGGCAGTACCAACAGAGAATAAAAGAGGAACTAATTTGATAGGCTGCTATTGTTAAGGAGTAGGGATTGGGAGGCAGGCTGCAGAATCAGCAGAGTGAAGAGCATTTTTGATTGTGACAGTTAGTCCTAATTAGAATTTTTAAATTGATATGCACATGTAATGGTGGAAATATAGGCTCTGATTTTGCAGACATTTATGCACTTGAGTAGCCTTGATCATGTGAGTAACCTCTTTAATTGAATGGGACTACTCACATGCTTAATGTTATTTACTCATGTGCATAAGCGTTTCCAGTAAGGAGGCCTGGGATATGAAATTTACATAAAGTATTGAAAAATCACAAGCAGCTATTTAGCTGACTACTTTTATTTTCAACATTTTAACATGTTAAAATGAAATGTTTAATAGGTAAATGTTTTAAAATGCATTTTAGCAAATGTAAAAGCAAAGTCTTTTATTTATATTTCAATAAGAGTACTGGAACTAAAATATATTAGTGACTCTTCCGGGGTGGATTAGGGTTTTCTGGGGCCCCTGGGCCAGAGCAAGTGGGGCCCCCTTCCCACCCCTTCTGCCTGCAGTCCCCCGTCCCCTGCCCCAGCACTCCTGCCGGGAAAATGGGGTTGGGGTGAGGGGCTTGTCATGCCTGCCCGGCATTCCTGCCAGGGAATGAGGGAAGCAGGGTCGGGGAGCAGGGGCTTGCCACACTCCACCCGCCTGCCCTTGCTCCAGCCAGGGAATGGGGTAAGGGCGCAGTGGCTTCCCCCACTCGTCCAGCACTCCAGCTGGAGAGCGGGGTCGGGGCACATGGGCTTGTTCCGCTCCACTTGCCTGCCCAGTGCTCCAGCCGGGGAGCGGGGGCGCCCATTTTTCCAGAGCCCTGCAATTGACCAGGGCAGGGCCGGCTCCAGGCACCAGCCGACCAAGCACATGCTTGGGGCGGCACCTGAGAAGGGGCGGCCAATGTTGGGGTGGCGGGGGGCGCTTGCGGTGGGTTTTTTTTGTTTTGTTTTGTTTTGTTTGGCGGGGCGGCGCTCGAGGGTTTTTTCTTTTCTTTTTTTTCGGCCGGGCAGCGCGGGGGGTGTTTTGGCAGCGCGGCACTGGGGGGGGGCGGGATTTGGCGGCGCGGCCCGGCGCTCCGGCGGTTTGGGCGGTGCGGTGCTGGGGGAGGGGGGGTCGGGGGTTTGGCCGGCCCCGCGCTTGGGGGGTGGGGGTTTGGCCGGCCCAGCGCGGCGCTCCGGGGGGTTTGGCCGGCCCGGCCCGGTGTGGCGCTCAAGGGGGGG